TTCAACTCATAAAAATTACAAATGAAAGCAGACACTATTTTTTAATAGGTAAGATTAGTAAAAATGAAGAAATCTTAATAATAATAATAATAATAATAATGTTGTTGTTGTTATGTGCCATCGAATCAGACCCGACTCATAGTGACCCCTCCTTGGGTTTCCGACGCAGTATCACTATGGAAGTAGATTGCCCCATCTTCCTTCCAGTTAGCAGTCAAGTGCCTTAAGCACTAAGCTACCAGAAATGAATAAATACTTGTGAGCATTTGGTGAAACAGGCATTCTCCCTCCTATACTGTTGGAGAGAATATAAAATGGTACTTCATGATGAGCAATTTGGCAATGTTTATCCAAATTTAAAATGTATAGATTGGCAGAGCAATTTATAGAAATTGTCCTATAGATATATTCATATGACTAAGCAAAGACATATATTCAGCAATTTTTTTAAAAGTAACTTTTTGTGATTTTGGAGCTCTGGTGGCATAGTGCCTAAGGCAACTGACTGTTAACCAGAAGACTGGTGACTCAAACCCACCAGCCACTCCTCGGAAGGATGGTTGGGCAATCTACTTCTGTAGTGATACCACCTCAGAAACCCAAGGAGGGGTCACTATGAGTCAGATCTGACTCGATGACCATGTGTTTGGTTTGGTTTGGTTTTTGTGATTTGAGTGTCCATGAACTTTTTTGCAGGATTTTCTGTAATCACAAAAAACTGGAAACAGTAAAGCAACCGGGAATTACAAACGTATGATGTGTCCACTCAATCACAGAAAAAAGAAAAAAAAAAAAAAAAAACCCAGTTAGGTACAGCAACTGATACCAGTGTGAAAAAATGTCTCAATATATTGAATTAAATGAAAAGAAGCACGATGTAGAACACTATATATATAGTATGATCCAATTTCTAGGAAAAAAAAATATATATACATGAAATTCTTACCCGTTGTTACCATGGATGAGCGGGGGGGTGTGGCAGTTTAAGGTTGTGTGTCAACTTGGTTGGGCCATGTTGTTGTTGTTATGTGCCGTCGAGTCGGCCCCGACTCATAGCAACCCCTCCTTGGGTTTCCGAGGCAGTATCACTACGGAAGTAGGATTGCCCAACCTTCCTTCCGAGGAGTGGCTGGTGGGTTTGAACCGCCAGCCTTCTGGTTAGCAGTCAAGTGCTTTAGCCACTATGCTACCAGAGCTCCCTGGCTGGGCCATAGGATGCAGTTATTCTCCTTGATGAGACTGAATGTGGTATAATAAACTCCATGGTGGAATCTGCTGTGAGCAGCTATTATGTTGCGTTCAAGGTATGGCATGCTTCCAGTATATATGAGGAAGCTTTGAGGAAGGTCTCTAGCTTCTAGCACATCTGGATCCTACATTTGGCTGAGTCTTCATCTCAGTGGCCTGCCGTGTTGCCTGCTAATCTTATTTCTGGACTTGAACTAGTGACCTGCCATGTGGCTTGCTAATCTTGGGACTGTGCCATTTTACCTGCTGATCTTGGGTTTGTCAGCCTCAGCAGCCAGCAGCTGTAGTCAGAAAAACCTCCAGATCTAGTGGGCCTGGACCAGGAGTCAAAAGGTGAAGCCCAAAGTCAAGGGGCCTTCATGCAGCCCCTGGAGCCAGCATTCTAAACTGGGACTTCTACTTCCTAAACTCTAAAAGAGTAAATCCCTGTTTGTTAAAGCCATCCACTTACAGTATATCTGTTATGGCAGCACTGGAGAACCAAGGCAGGGCTTAGGTGGGGATGAGGACTTTGACTTTGTACTTTATATCTTTTTGTATGGATTGAATCTTTCTTAATAAACCACTTTTGTGATTTTTATTTCCTCTAATTAAAAAAAAAAATGCAATGACTGCAACAGTTAATACATCAAGTCTAAACCCTGATGACTGAATTTCAAACCTTTTCAAAATGGGGTTTGACACTCTATCATTTCACAAAGCTGTCCAGCTTACACTCTGCAGGTCTCTTCACATAGACCACACATTTCCCACTTTTCTTTCCTCATGTCATACTCTTCCTTTTTCTTTGCACATCTAAATCTTGCCCATTCTTCTAGGACCAGCTCCAATGCCAACAACCCATGAGAAATTTCCTAACTCCTCAAAACTACCAGTTCTCTTCCTTCTTTGTTTTTCCAGTGAACTCAAGCTACAACACAGTTTAACGTTAATTACTCTCTGAATTATATTTGTTGAGTTTTTCCAAATTTTAAACATCTTGGTAGAAAGTATGCCTAAATTTACTTTGTACTCCTACCTACCACATTAGTTAGGTATAAATATATTCAAGAAATACATTTAAATCAATTATATGTAATGGCTCCCCCAACATTACCTATTACTGTAAAAACAATCACCAAAAACAAACAAACAAAACCAGAACTTGTCACTTAGCTCCTAGGTCTTGTGACCTATATTTTCTTAATTTAAGTAAGTGCAGATGGTATGAATCCAGTTTAGTGTAAATTCAATGTGTATATTTAAAATTTCCCATAAAAGAGAATCCTAAAATAATCATATTTGACTTAGTCACAATTCTGACAGAAAGCAGGCACTTACTTAAATTAGCTAACACCTTCCTACTTATTATCCTAACACTAAAACAAAAAACAAAACAAAACAAAAGAAATACAACCATGGTTCTTCAAAGAATATTCTGTTAACAAGAACAGAAGAATATTAAATCCTGATTAAAGAAGAGAAATACATACAACATTGCAGTATCAGTCGATTTTATCCAGTGTAAGAAAAATTTTAAGCTTTATTTTATAAAACATTTCAGATTCCCTCATATCACAGCATCATATCAAGAAGCAAAATTTACATATACTGATTTTATACTACACATTAGGTCCCAAATTCCCAATCCTAGGTAAAATATCAAATTGTAAAATACAAGTGCTGATAATTAAACTATAGGTAGTACTTTAAACAAATAATAATTTAAAAAAAGCATTTTCAGCACATAAGTGAAATGAGCCTTTAATCAAAAAGAGACTTAATTCCACAGTATATCTTTCTTCAACAGCAATTAATTCAATTAAGTCTTTGATTCCAAGTTCAAGTGACTGTTATGTTTAAAGCAAACAAGAAATAGCAATCAATTCTTAAGTGGTATATTTCAGTATGTAGTATAAGTTTGCATCCAATTTTTAGAACTTGTTTTGGAGTCAAATGAAACAAACGAATCAGAGACAAATGCTCTGACTCCATTTTAAGGAATACAACATATTTGTTCTGTCTTGGCACAAAGGTACATTATGACATTGGTGGTCTTTAACTTTTCACACTAAGTAATTCACCAATTCACATACTTCCTTCAACAACTTCCATTAAGGAAACACACATTTAACAGAAAAAGTCCTGTATTTCCAGTTTTAAAAAGGAGACAGTTCTATGAAGAAGCATCCATTTAAATATCTGAGTATATACATTTTTTTTTTTACAACTTCATGCCTTAAGTGAAGTTTTGATTTAGAAACATCATTTCATGAACTCAGCATCAAATATTTACACAGTATGTGTTTCATATAATTTTAGAAACCTTAAATGGAACAAAATAATTCTAATAGTCATAAAGTTTTATCAAATTCAAGTCTCCAGTAATCTTAAAACAAATTATAACTGTTTGTGCAACTGAGATATCCAGTTAGTCTTTTTACAAAATCCTAAAGTTATGTGAGAAAGGCAGTCAAAGAAAATTTGTAACTTTGATAATTTTCAACCATTTAAATATGCATAGCTAAAATAAGATAAGGGACTGGTCTGGAATATGAGAAATTTCAAATTTTACAGCTCTAACTCACTATTTGCAATCTGTGTTGAGTTTTACATAATTTTCACAGTTTTTATATCACCGTTTTTATCCAGATAAAAGAAATGACCTTTCAAAATTATTGGCATTAAAAATGGCACTTATGGACAAAAAGAATGATGGGAAAATTAATCTTAGCTAGCACAATTTCTCTGAAAGCATGAGGAATGCTATATAACCAATATAATAGAAGCAATAGTTTATAAATCTTGGGAAGCTCAGATTTCTTTAGTCACTTTAAATTTTTGTTTTACTAAACAACTCGAAGTTAAGTATTATATTCGTGTTAAAAACAAAGCAAATAAAATTTAAAAAACAAGAAAAATGCAGAATGGAGCATTTTAGCAAGAATCACAAAAGGCTCTCTCCTCTTCCCTTTGTCTTACCAATTTGTTCTCTACTTTGTTACTGAGAACAGAAACAGAAACAAATCTCTGCTCTAAGTAGTCACATTTGAGAACACCCATCTGCATATGATTTTTTCTAATTTCCTGTGCACCCAAACCCTGAAACCTTAATAAACATTTCAATTAAATTTTCCTCCTATTTCCATCAAGTCTGAGCCAGTATGTAACCTACACCGCAACAAGGGCAGCTAAAATCACTAAATCTGCCATATTCTTCAATGTGTCTTGTTTTTTTACTTTATTATTACTTTTGAATATGACAAGGGCAAAACTTCTAGCTGGAAATTTACACAATTTAGGAATACACTGAAAAAATTACTTTATCATAGTCCTTGAGAATATAAAGCTGCTAACTAGCATCTCAAAATAATTAACTATTCAAATTATGTTGAATTTGCTTAAAAGTTTTTATGGAAGTTTCTTTTTGTGTTCTACAAATATTAGAGTACCTGAATGCACACAGTAAAGAATTCTTTTAATGGTAATAATATGCTAAACCAAATTTTCTAACATTTTTCTTTTCCTCAAATTGTTCCATTACATTTTAAGGTGGGCAAGTACATGTGGCAGGGCATTTTATATGGTATTGTTCCCCTTTTGTACCAAGAAATCTAACATTTTAGTGAACTGAGAAATTTCTCACAACATACTTAAACCCTCTATATTTATAGGCATTATTTCTTTAGGCTGCATAGTATATACTGTGAGAAAATATGTTTTGACTCAAAGAATTAGCTGAAATACTATGTGAACACGTATTCATTAGAGAAGTAGCATAATTTAAAAGGAAATAATGGTTTAATAATTCCATCATTTTTGTTATTTTGGCTTAATTTAGTATTTTTTCTTTCTCCTTTAGATTTTGCACATCTATCTGAGAGGGCATCATTTAATTTTAAGCTGTTTTTGAGACTATAAAGAATATACTAATGTAACCTAATATAAATATAAATAATAGCAATATATATGTCTTTCTATATAAACTGATCCTTGTATCAGACCACTGATGTTGTGCTTTCAGGATTCACACGAATAAGTCTGGATGCGTTCCTCAGGTCTTGGAGTTGCTTGGCAGGTTTCCCCACACCTTCTTCAAACCTTTTCTCCACAACAGGGAGTACTGTTTCATACAGAAAGGATGCATTCTGTCTAATAAAGGCCTTCTTCTCTGGATCCTGCTCACATCTAAGACTGTAATCCACATGCTGAAGAGCAACCAAAATGATCTCCACCAGGCTCTCCAAAAGTATCATGTGAAGCTCTGGGAAATACAGCTTCAGGGCCTCTTCCAAGAAGCCCATAGTTTGTTTGGTGAAAGCAACCACTGTGTAGCTGAGGTTCACCCAGCAGTCATCCCCTGTATACTGCTCAAAATTACTCACCCCACAACTCTTCATCTCTTCTTTGAGTTTACCCAGGGCCTCAGGAGTCATCAAGTTCATCTTCCTCCACATCTCCTCAGAGTTGCGATGCTTAGTGGCTTCAATAATGATTTCTTTGTAACTGTGCAAGGCCCCCTGGATGTCTTTCACCAGAAGGGCATGGATGATGAAGGTGAGGTCTAGTCCAATATCTCCTAGCTGCTGACAATGCTCCTTGGCAACCTTTACACACTCTGCTGCTGTAGAGAGGCTCTCTTTACTATCAAACACCTGCTTGCTAAAAGCATCCACAAACATGGCCATGGCTGACCGTGCCCAGACCACAAAGGCAGAATAGCAGCCACTGTCAGTGCCTGCAAAATCTGTCTCAAATTCCCTTGCAGTCTCCAGAAGACTGGTAAAGAAGACATGGCATAGTTTATGAATATAGAGTAAAGTGGCACCCTCAATACGAAGCTGTCTTATTGCAGTATGCACAGCTGCTGCCCTGTTTCTTAAAAATAGCTCACAAGCCTTAGTGCACTGGCCAAGGCGGATTAATTGAGACACTGCTCTGCGAGTAGCCTTGGGACCACCTCTCAGGGAACGATCTGGAGAGAGTTCAAAAACTAATACCTCAGTGAGCTGACGGACTCGCTCATCCACTTTGGCTCTTAGTTCTTTAACAGGAGGTGGACTGGGCTTATTCTCCAGGTAATGGTTCAACTTATCCAGCAGGTCTACTGCCCCTTCAAAGTCCCTCTGAGCAATACACACATCCAAGTCTTCAGGTAACTCCTGGATCCATTCCACTGAGAGGTCCACCTTCTCTTCCTCTACCTCAGGTGTAGCTGGTTCTTCTTCTTCATCATCATCTTCGAATGGGTTACTGGACTTGGAAGTCACTTGGGGTGGCCCTCGTGGAACTGCTGCCTCCTCCTGCTCCCTTCGTCTTTTCTCACTGAGGGCCCTCTTGGTTTCTTCCAGCACTTCCAGCCACTCGCGTTTGATTTTAGCATTTTCCGCCTGAAAAATACGGCTTTCGGGGAACATGAGCAGCTTGAACATATCTTTCATGGGTGGGTTGTCCTTGACATTGACGACAGCCAGGCCATCTAGGGGGTAGAGAGCGTTATAGCGATACATACCCCGCCGCTGTGGCAGCCAGGTGGCTACCAGCAAACAGTCATTCATGAGAAAGCCATGCACCCGCTGCAGCTGGGCCATGTGGTCCGCCTCGTACTCCACCAGGTCCCCGTTGTACACCAAGTACTGTCCCGGCGTCTCTAGCAGATGTCTGCAGCCTTCCACCTTCTCTAGCAGGGTGGTGAGGGTGCGCTGCTTTCCTTCCTCGCCGGGACCTGAACTATCCCGGGAGGCGCCCCCAGGAGTGGGGAAAAAGCCAGTCTGGCCTCGGAAGTGGTCTCGGCCCCCCGGCCCTCCTCCCCCCTCCTCCCCACCAGAGGCCGCGACGGCTCCGGCAGCAGCGGCGGCGGGAAGCAGTGTGAGCGGGATGCTCTCCAGACTGCTCTTCTGTTCTGTGAGCAGATGGCTGAGCTGATACATCTCGCTCTCCAAATAGGAGATCTCGCGGGCCGTCTCTATGAATTGCCGATAGTTCTGATACACATTGCGCTTCAGGTTCTGCGCCGTCTCCTCCGCCAGCGCCTGGATTCGCTGCCGGTGCTCCTGGAGGTCCCTGTCACCGTCTGACTGCTGAGAGAGTTGCTTCACATACAGCCGCGCCTCGAAGCCGCCTGACTCCAGCTGCCGCCTCAGACGGCTCGCTCCACTGTCCGACATCGACATTTCCGTCCGACACGCGCGCAGTCACTGTCACTATCGCTGCCACTGTCGAGACCCACCCCGCCCCGACTGAGCTCCAGGATGAGGAAGCTGGACGAAGCCAGGTGAGTGCGCCTGCGCTCATGCCTGAGAGTCGGGCACTGCGCCTGCGCAAGGAGCCGCACAAGACAGTACGCCTGCGCGGAAGCCTCAGCTGCTTCGGACGCATGCGCCGTAAGTGCTCTCGCGGAAGTGAGTGAGGGCGGAAGCCGTGTGGTGGCTCTGCGCTTTGGTGAAGTGTAATGTCTAGTGTTTGAAGTTGCGGGCGAAGTGTAAGGACGGTATCAGCTCTCGTTGACTTACGGGCCAAACCTGGGGAACTCAGTTCTGCGCCACCTAGGAAGTGCTGATTTTTCGTTAGGCCCCGAATCTTGGCTTCGGCATTAGGAGCAAGCTGACCTCTCGTGTTCATTCTGGCCCGTTTTTTTTTTTTTTTTCATGTTCTCGCGATAGTCTAGGAGCTGTTGTGGTGTGGGGTGGGGGCACGGGAGCGCCTGCCAGGAGACGGCAGGGAGCTGGTATTTACTAGGAGCCGCCGGGGGGCAGCCGGGGGCCGCAGAGCCCTACATTATGGACGAGGACCTAGTTTTGGCCCTCAAGCTGCAGGAGGAGTGGGACTTGGAAGCCGTGCGGCGCGATCGGGCCCAGGAACCCTTATCGCTAGTGGACGCGTCCTGGGAGCTGGCGGACCCCACCCCGGACCTGCAGGCCCTGTTCTTGCAGTTCAACGACCAGTTCTTCTGGGGCCAACTGGAGGCTGTGGAGGTGAAATGGAGCGTGCGCATGACCCTGTGAGTCCCGGCCCTCACGTGTCGGTCGGACAGCTTTAGGAAAGTTATGTGGCCCACATGCTGTGGCTTGAAGAATAGGGACACGAGAGGGACTTTCTCACCTCAAAAAGGCATGGATACATTTCTGATTTGTCCTTTGATAGTGCCTTTTCTTTTAGGCCACAGATTAGGACTTTAGAGAATAGATAAAGCTAGACTATGCTCTGGTAGCATAGTGCCTAAGGCACTTGCCTGCTAACCAGACGGCTGGCGGTTCAAACCCACCAGCCACTCCTCGGAAGGAAGGTTGGGCAATTCTACTTCCGTAGTGATACTGCCTCGGAAACCCAAGGAGGGGTCGCTATGAGTCGGGGCGACTCGACGGCAAACAACAACAACAAGAAGTTTATGTAAACGAACGTGGTGTCTTAGTGGTTGAAGCACTTGACCTCTAAGGAGAGCTCTGCGGTTCGAACCCACGGGAGAGAAAGACGTGGCAATCTGCTCACGTAAAGATCAAAGCCTAGGAAACCCTATGGGGCAATTCTGTTCTATAGAGTCTGTATAAGTCAGCATCCACTTGACGGCAATAGATGTGGTGCTTTTCCGGTTTAGTCCTTTGGGACCCGGGAAGGAGGCGCAGCAGAGAAAAATTGCGAGAAACCGCTAAAGGATGTGTTTTACTCATTAAGATAAACATTGAGATACTCTGTACTCATTAAGATGCCACCACTTAGTGTGTTGGAATCAGGGTTCCCAACCGGTTTATTCCAGTTTGACCCCCTGCTGAGAATTTCCATTTCCACTCCAGATACACTGAATCAAACTCTAAAATTCTGACCTACATTTTTGCCATGGTCTTGGGTGGAAACATACATTTTCAGCAGGGAGTGAATGGTTCAGCCCTTGTTGGATTGTGGAGGGAGAATGTTTGCATATCTGGACCTAAGAGATCTTTAGGAGCTCTGGTGGCATAGTGCCAAAGGCATTTGATTGCTAACCAGAAGGCTGGTGGTTCAAATCCACCTGCTGCTCCTCGGAAGGAAGATTGTTGTTGTTACGTGCTGTGGAGTCGGCCCCGACTCATAGCGACCCCTCCTTGGGTTTCCGAAGCAGTATCACTCCAGAAGTAGATTGCCCCATCTTCCTTCCGAGAAGTGGCTGGTGGATTTGAACCGCCAGCCTTCTGGTTAGCAGTCAAGTGCCTTAGGCACTACGCTACCAGAGCTCCGGAAAGTAAGATTGGGCAATCTATTTTCGTAGAGATACAGCCTCAGAAACCCAAGGAGGGGTCGCTTTGAGTCAGATCTGACTCCACGGCAGTGAGTTTGGTGTGGTTTTCAGGGGATCTTTAATGATAACTTATAAAGGGATTCCCATTGTACACTCTAAATTTGAGAAATCCCAATTTGAAGTAAATTACTTCATGAACATGAACATTGAACATGAAAGGAGTTAACAGGTTTAGGACGTAGTTGTATATGATTGTGTTTGTTTTTGAATTATTATAAAGTAGGTTAAAATAAAGTGTGCCTAAAGTGCAAATTTTCTTCATGTAAAAGCTTCTATTATAGTTTTGGAGATGGGCTACTGGAACATGTATCTGTACTTGTTACCACCACAGACTGATTATAACTGGTAAGGAGGAACAGAGCAGGTATCTTTGAGTGTTTGTAGCCTGACAGGGGTAATAGAAGCCACTCTGGCTCACTTATCTCCCTAACTGGAATGAAAGGCAAATATCTTATAATTAAGAGGGTATACTTTCAAGAAAGCCATCTTCCATTAGAGTTGTTTTTTGTTTTTAATATGAACTGTCCAGGAGTGTGTAAAGATTTGCTGATTCATCTGTATTTCCTTCTTGGTATATATCTGATAAATGTAACACATTTTTTGTGTGTGATGGTTTTGCAGGTGTGCTGGGATATGCAGCTATGAAGGGAGGGGTGGAATGTGTTCCATTCGACTCAGCGAACCTCTTTTAAAGTTGAGACCACGAAAGGATCTTGTAGAGGTATTCTTTGCATAAACCTGATTTCTTTGCTCAGTAGTTTAGAAATACCATTGATTTAGATTTCTGTGTATTAACCTGTATATTTTACAAACTTTAATGAGACAGTTAATAATAATGATTACCTTTAATTTTTATAGTGCTTCATAGTTATGAAAGGCTACAGGTACATTATAACATTCGATTTTTACCACAACTCTTGACATTCAATATGTGATGTTACCTGCATTTTTATAAACGAGGAAATTATGGTTCAAAGACGGTATGTAACTAGAAGCAGAGAAAAACTTAGGATCTAAGTCTACCCATGCAAATTTTGCTTCTCTGTCTTGTTGCCACATTGCTTCCCTCCTAGGGCATCTAGCTGAGCTGGTACTTGTGGCATATTTAGGGCCAGGAGTAGTTGCTTTTGGCCAGATATAGAAGACCAAAAAACCCCAAACCCACTGTCATCAAGTCAATTCCCACTTATGGGGAACCCCCATAGGGCTTCCAGTCTTTATGGAAGCAGACAGACTCATTTTTCTCTTGAAGGAGCTGGTAGGTTTGAACCACTGACCCTTTTATTTAACAGCCTTAACCACTGGCCACCAGAGCTCCTTAGCTACAGGATAAACCCACTGCCATTGCATTGATTCTGACTCATAGTGACCCCTTTTGGGTTTCCGAAGCTGTAAATCTTTATAGAAGTAGATTGCCTTATATTCCTCCTGCAGAGCAGCTGCTAGGTTTGAACCCCCAATCTTCTGGTTAGCAGCCAAATGCCTTACCCACTATGCCACCAGAGCACCTTTTATATATAGGATCCAAAAACAAAACCAAACTCGACTCAGATCTGACTCATGGCGACCCCTCCTTGGGTTTCTGAGGTGGTATCTCTATGGAAGTAGATTGCCTAATCTTCCTTCCAAGGAATGGCTGGTGGGTTTGAACCGCCAGCCTTTCATAATGACCAAGTTAAAATGTTTGATTGTCCCATTTTTCTGTTCAGCATAATTTTACAAAACAAATTCATTAATGTCAGCCTAGTTTTTCTAATAGAAATTACTTCCGAAAGTTAGGAAAACATTGAATGAAGGTGAAGTATAAATAGCTCGATGAAGGTAAATGTTGTCATTAAAATTTACATGAGAAAAAGGACCTGTTGATAATTGCTATGGCATATATAATTTTGAAACAATACCAAAAACAACTGAAAGTATATGTGCGGGTATGTATGTAGGCATATATGTTTATAGGTATGTATATATGTGTGCATATATAGGTGTATGTTTATATGTATCTGGGAGTGCTGGTAGTGTAGTGCCTAAGGCACTTGACTGCTAACCAGAAGGCTGGTGGTTCAAACCAATACTACCTTGGAAACCCAAGGAGGGGTTGCTATGAGTCGGGTCTGACTTGACGGCACATAACAACAACATATATGTATCTATGTTGCTATATGCACATATATTCATATATATAATATAGCACATAGGGGACACAGTTACAGATACTTCTTAGATGTAACCAAACACCTTGCGGTATTGAATTTCTGGGTTTGAAGGATTAGGATCATAGTCTCTTGGGACATCTCAGTCAGTTGGCATAATATAGTTAATAAAATTATGTTCTACATCCTGGTTTGCCGAGTAGTGTCTAAGGACTTAAGAGCTTGCGAACCACCATCCAAGATAGTCTGTGCTTGTCTGGAAGAAAAGAGAAAGAGGGAAACCAAAGACTCAAAGAAACTAGTCTGCAGGATAAATAGTCTGCCTGAACCACAGCCTCATCTACCCTGAGACAAGAACTAGATCTGGTGTCTGGCTACCACTACATTGTTAATCAGGGCCACAATAGATGGACTCTGTTAGAATGGGAAAAAAATGTAGAAAAGAACTTCAAATCCTTAAAAAAAAAAACCCCACTAGACTGATTGAGACTGGAGAGCTCCCTAAAACTATTCCTCTGAAATACTCTTAAAACCTTGAGCTAAAACTCCTGAAGTCATCACCTTGTAGTTAAAACAACATATTGGCTCAAAAAATAAAGAACATCATCCGTAAGTACTATGCTGCTTTTAAAAATCACTTATGAGACCAAACAGTTGACAGTTACTTTAAGACAAAGATGAGAATGTAAGGGAGCAGGGAAACTAGATTAATGACAATGGAACAACCAGAAAGGAAAATGAAAATGTTCACACATTTTAAAGAGTGTAACCAATGTCACTGAACAACTTGTGTAGAAATTGTGGAATGGGAACACAAAACCAAAAAAAAAAAGCCAAACTCACTGCCGTTGAGTCGGATCTGACTCATAGCAACCCCTCCTTGGGTTTCCAAGACAGTATCTCCACGAAAGTAGATTGCCCCATCTTCCTTCTGAGGAGTGGCTGGTGGGCACAAATTGCTGTGTAAAACCTTCACTGAAAACACAATAAAATATTATTTAAAAAAAAAATTGTGGAGGATTATGAAAAAGAAGGTGTGGTTTCAAAGAATTGTGGGTTTTTTTGGCTAAAAAAATGATTTTTTTCTAAGAACAAGTTATAAAACAGCTGTATATCTTTTTGTTAATTTTAATTTTGTTTGTAAACTTCTGCATTGTTGGTGTAGAATGAGGAGCAGGTTTTTTTTGTTTTAAAATTTACCTGATTCAAAACCCGTAAACTATAGAAAGTTGTTGTTGTTAGGTATCGTCGAATTGTCTTTGACTCATAGCGACCCTTTGTACAGCAGAACGAAACACTGCCCAGTCCTGTGCCAACCTCACAATCCCTGCTATACCCGAGCCCATCACTGTAGCTACCATGTCAATCCATGTTGTTGAGGGCCTTCCCCTCTTTCACTGACCCTCCACTTTACCAAGCATAACATTCTTCTTCAGAGAATGGTCCCTTCTGACAACATACACAGAGAAATCTTGTTCCTACCCCTGTTGTTGTTGTTATGTGCCCTTGAGTTGACCCCTCCTTGGGCTTCCGAGGCAGTATCACTACGGAAGTAGATTGCCCCATCTTCCTTCCGAGGAGTGGCTGGTGGGTAAGAACTGCCAGCCTTCTATACCTCTCTATTCTGAACTCCCCATGCACTTTAGGAAACTTATTTTCTTAGCTATTCTTTCATTGTTCTTACTTGCAAATATTTGTATCCACTCGTATTTCCCCTCCATGACACATAAAATACTGTGTACACTTTTCCTGTATTTACTAGTCTTTTTCTTTTTTTGTTAAAACAGAACCCTCTCTAGCTTTCTCCAAATATTTCATAGAGCTCTTTTCATTCCTTTTTTATACATAGAATTCCTTGTGTAGTTACAGCTTAGAGCATTCAACTCGTACCCTGTTGCTAAACATGGGTTATTTCTAATCATTTGCCATTGTAAACAGTGCCAGGATGAATACAACTTAAACATATGACCCTGTCTTGATGCCCCTGTGTCAAAGGATAAATTCATATGTAATTTTGTTAGATGTTACCAAATTATTCTCCCTTGGGGTTGTACCATTTTACACTCCCACCAGTGGTATATGGGAATGTTTTTTTTCCCATAGCTTTACTAGCTGTCAAAATTTAGGAGTTTGAACAACCTTGTTAAGCAAGAAATGGTATCTTAGTATAGTATTAATATTCATTTCTCTTTTTATAAATAAGATTGAGCACCTTTGAATGTTTTATGGGTCATTTATATTTCTGTGAATTCTCCATGAGCTTTGTCCATTTAAAAATAGGGTGGTTTTTAATTTTTCTGTTGACTTTAGGAGTTCTTTATATATTAAGAGATTGTTAGTCTGTGATAAGAGTTGTACATGTATTTTTCTGACTTTATCATTTTATAACGTCTGTCTCTTTCAATTCCCACATAAAACATTTCAGTGTTACATGGTTGAATTCACCATTCCTTTCTTTTGGATTTTGTTCATAGTTAGGCCTTTCTGGAACAGGCAGTTTTTAATCTGGGATCCACAGAGTTTTGGAATATTAGTTGCAAAGTTTTGTGAATGTGTGCACATGTAATTTTTCTAGAAAGATGGTTTATGAGTTTTGTTAGTTTCTGAAAGGAGCGTGTGATCCAAAGAACATTAAGAACCCCAGGTAGATTAAGAAAATGCTAGTGGCTACGATTATATTCAGACATGCCATAACAATTTAATTGTTTTCTCTTTCAGACACTCTTGCATGAAATGATACATGCTTATTTATTTGTCACTAATAACGATAAAGACCGGGAAGGGCATGGTCCAGAATTTTGTAAACATATGCATCGTATCAACCGCCTGACTGGAGCCAACATAACAGTATGTAAAGGCACAATATTTATGATACTTATGTATTCAGTAACTCCTGGGATTTAATTAAAAATAGAGAACTAGATAGAAATAAACTTTGAGCATTTTCAGCAATGAATTAGAGGCCTAGAGAAGTTAATTTGCTTGGAGCTCTGGTAGCATAATGCCTAAGGCACTTGACTGCTAACCAGAAGGCTGGCGGTTCAAATCCACCAGCCACTTCTCGCAAGGAAGATGGGGCAATCTACTTCTGGAGTGATACTTCCTTGGAAAGCCAAGGAGGGGTCGCTATGAGTCGGGTCCGACTCCACGGCACATAACAACACAACAACAACAAGATCACAGAGGAGACTGATAGCAAAGCTAGAAATATAAATGAGGCCTTTGACATCATCTAGGTTAATGTTTTTCTGCATAGTTAATTCAGTCCTACAAGACCTCTTTTTCTGGATTGTTAAAATTATCTCTTAATTTCATTTCCTTATTACAATCTCCCTCCATTCTGTCCTATATTCTGCTACCATTTTCTGTGCCCTTTCCTTCTCAGAAGTCTTCTTGATTTACATTCACCACAGAATTACGAACAAAACATTTCAGCATGTTGTTGTAGGACTGGCATAGTCTATGGTTAGAAAAGGCATGAGTCAGATGCTTGTATTCAAATCCTAGCTCTACTCATTATTGACCATATGACCTACTTTTTTATGCTTCATTTTAATCACGTGTGAAATGCACATAATAGTGGTCTTTGTGAGGATTAAAGGAGAAAATGTTTGTGGTAGTTAAGGTTATTTATTAAGGTTATGTGTTAAGGTTGGCTGGGCCAGTGGTTTTGAGTGGTTGGCAGCTAGATGTAGTTACTCCCCATGATGAGGTTGGTAATCACTTACATGGTAGAATCTGCTATGAGCAGCTAAGTAGCTGGGTTCAGGGTATGCCTGCTTTCAGTATATAAGGAGAAATTTTTCACAAGGTCTCAAGCTTTTTGGCACTTCTGTATCCTGCATTTGGCTGAGTCCTTTTAAAAATAGGGTAGTGGCCTGTCATGTCATCTGCCAATCTTGGGATTGTTCCTGGACTTGAACAGTGGCCTGCAATGTTGTCTGTTAATCTTGGGACTATGCCACCTTACTTGTTGATTTTGGGTTCATCAGCCTTAGTAGCCAGCAGCTGCATGAAAAGGCCTCCAGCTTTCCTGGGCCTGGAATAGGAGGCAGAGCTGAAGTCCAAAGTTGAGTGGCCTTTACCCAGCCACTAGAGCCAGCACTTTGAACTCAGAATTGTAGCCTCCTAAACTGAAACACGGGAGCTCTGGTAGCATAGTGGCTAAGATACTTGCCTGCTAACCAGACGGCTGGCGGTTCAAACCCACCAGCCACTCCTCGGAAGGAAGGTTGGGCAATCCTACTTCCGTAGTGATAACTGCCTCGGAAACCCAAGGAGGGGTCGCTATGAGTCGGGGCCGACTCGACGGCACATAACAACAACAACAACAAACTGAAACACAATAAATCGCTGTTTGTTAAAGCCATCCACTTGTGGTATTTCTTTTAGAGTAGCACTAGAGAACAAAAATAAAATTTGGTACTGAGAGAGTGGGGTGCTGCTCTAACAGAGACCTAAAATATGGAAATGGAAGTGGAATGCCTCCTTGGACCTGAGATAGGGAATAACTACATCCAGTAGAGAATCAGAGCCAAGAGACTAGCACAAGACAAAACAGCGGGCTCCCACAGAGCGAGAAAGCTGAAGGCCTTTGGGCAGGAGGCTTCCTGGTGGAGTGGGTTGCTTTTGGGCACTAATTGGTAGAGATGTGTATGAGACAGAGCCACAGGCTTGTCTGCCAATGGAGCAAGAAAGCTGAATGCCTTTGGGAAGGAAGTTTGGTGGAATGGGTTGCCTTTGGGCACTAATTGGCAGAACCTGAGAGACCAAGGAAATGGGAAGCAGAGCTGCCTTAGTCTCAGAGTAGGACCATGGCCTCTGGGGGTGGAACCACCACAGCCTCCTTGGTTTTGGAATCAGATCTTCACCAACTCAGTTCTGGAATGTAGGACTGCTATACATAAGCGCCAGTGGGATGGAGCCATATTTTCTGCCCAGAAGTGAAGGGGTGGGGCTGCCATGCCAAGGGGGTAAGGTTGCCATTCAGATGGACTAGGAGACTCGGGCCATCCAATGAGAGATGCGTACTAGTGCCAAGCTCACGGTGGAATTGTGGTAGTTAAGGTTATGTGTCATCATCTTGGTTGGGCTGTGGGTTTAAGAGCTCAGCAGCTGGATATAGTTATTCCCTATGATGAGAAGCTTTGGGCAAGGTCTTGAGCTTTTGTTGGCACATCTGGATCCTGCATTTGGCTGTCTTCATCTCAGTGGCCTGCTATGTTGTCTGCTGGTCTTGGGATTGTTCCTGGACTTGAACTAGTGGCCTGACATGTGGCCTGCTAATCTTGGGGCTGTGCCACTTTACTTGTCAGTCTTGGATTTGGTAACCTCAGCAGCGAGCAGCTGTATAATTCAGGAAAAACCTCCAGCTACTGGGCCTGGAACGGAAGAGCTGAAGCCCAAGGTCAAGGGACTTTCAGCCAGCACCTGGTGCCAACACTGTGAACTCAGATTTCTAGCCTCCTAAACTGTAAGAAAATAAGTCCTTGTTTGTTAACACCATCATTTTGTGGTATTTCTGTTAGAGCAGCACTAGAGAACCAAGACAATAAGCAAAACATTTCAGCAAAGTTTGAGCACTAATTGTAAATTAGTTTTTGACATTGTATTAATTTTGTAAAATAATCTTACTCTTTTTTCTTAACCTTTCACAGTTCTTCTGCTTGTGTTCTATGTCTCTAACTGAATTTTTCACCTCCATGCCTTTCTCATATATCCCTTCTCCAAAATGTGTCATTTCTTCTACTTTCTGTCAAAATATTCTTCATCTTTCCAGTGGGATATGACTTCTCCCCCCTTTGAATCTCCTAACAGATAGTTACCCTTTTACAATATTTTATTCTACTTTCATACCTCTAAAGACAGGTTGGCCTTTACCCATCTTTTTTGGGTCAAGGTGAAGAATACAGTGCCCTTACAGGGGCTTAATAAATACTGAACTGAACTGAATAGATTATTTATTCCTACATAAATTAAATTCTGTAGTCTACTTGTCTTTAAAAGGCAGTAAAGGGTAGTAAGATGGAAAATGAAAAATAGTCACTCTCCATGTAGTATTCATTCTCAGCTATCAGTTTTAATTTTCTAGAGAGCTCTTTTAATTATTGTATCTAGTTACTTTAACATCCAGAAAAATGGCTTGCATTAGAAACGATTAGACTTAATTGGGTTAGCAAGAGAATTAAGGAGTTGCTAGTATAAAAAACTCAACAGATTCTTCATTAAAATTTACACGTAAAGTCCGGGTGTATTTCCTTTTGTTCAGTTGGAAGAAGATAATATTCTTTTATCTTAGATGTCTGTGTGTATTTATTTAGGAGAGGTTTTGTAAGTGAGCACCCTTTGCTCCTACAGGTTATATCCTGTTACAGTGACCTCCACAGGATATCAAGTTTCACATTACAAAGCAATTTTAATTTTACTCACTACATGAACAAGAGGTCTCAGTGCCGGACTTTAAGTGTTACAGGAGTTGGAAGAAGTAAAACATAGAATTCCCTGTCTTTTGTGTCAGTGTGTTTTTAAGTAAAGAGTCTGAACAAAATAGAGAGTGCAAGATATTTCTTAGTCTGTTTCTTCTACATCTAAAATATGTGCATTATTTGCATGTTTGCCAAGCAATAGAATTTTTTTTCTTATTATGGCAGTTAGTATAGCACTGTCAGTTGATAGTTAAGAAAAGCTTACCATTCTTCCCCACAATAAGGGAAATTTATTAGTTATATGTCTTTGTTTCTTTTTTCTTTTTTATTGTGACTTAGGTGAAGATTTACAGAGCAAATTCACTTTCCATACAGCAGTTCACATATACTTTGTCTCATGTCATTGACCACACTTTACCACAATGCAA